GTGGAAAGTGATTATGAGGTTCCACCATTGGGAGGCAATCCTACTCTGAATCAAATAAGGGCTCATCGAGAAAAGGTAACTCGCAAAGCAAAGGCTTTGTCTTGTCTATTCTCTTGTGTCTCTACTTCAGTTTTCACAAAGATCATGCAGCTTGAATCAGCAAAAGATGTTTGGGATTTTCTGAAGAATGAGTATGAGGGAGATGAGAAAATAAGAGGAATGAAAGTGTTAAATCTGATGAGAGAGTTTGAAAGGCAGCATATGAAAGCAAGTGAATCTGTGAAAAATTATGTGGATAGGTTGGTATCTATTGTCAACAAGATAAGGATTCTGGGAACTCAAGTTTCAGATGAAAGGTTGGTACAGAAAGTGATGGTTTCTGTACCTGAGCGTTATGAAGCAACTTTGGCCTCGCTTGAAAACACTAAGGAAATTTCGGAAATTAAACTTCCTGAACTGCTTAGTGCTTTGCAGGCGCAGGAGCAAAGAAGATTAATGAGGAAAGAGGAATCAACTGAAGGAGCTTTGAAGGCTAAGGCCAAGGGTAATGCTGCAGAGAAAGGGAAGAAAGCTGCTCAGAATCAGAAGTCTGATGGCTCGAGTGGTCAGAATGATGGTAAGGAAACCAGTGGGAATAAGTCTTTTCTCGATCCCTGCAAGCATTGCAATAAGAAGGGGCATCCTCATTGGAGGTGCTGGAAGAATTTAAAGTGCAGGAGGTGTGACAAAGTGGGTCACATTGAAAGGTTTTGCAGGTTTAATGCTGCACAACAAACAGAGGTTGTTAAAGCTGATGCAAAAGAGATGGAGCAATTGTTTGTGGCTTCATGTTTTGCTGCACATGGAGCTGATGTTGAATGGCTGATTGATAGTGGTTGTACAAACCATATGTCAGGTAATCTTGATCTATTTCAAACTCTAGATAAATCTGTTAAGTCTAGAGTTAGAATAGGCAATGGTGATTTCATCTCTGTTGAAGGAAAAGGTGATGTTTTGTGCAAAGGTCCAAATGGTTGTAGGATACTTACAGATGTGTTGTTTGTGCCAAAAATTGATCAGAACCTTCTGAGTGTTGGGCAGTTGATGGAAAAAGGTTATAAGTTGATGTTTGACAGAAATGA